GTCATCTGGTGGCCCCTGAGCTGCTTCCAGCCTGTGAGCTTATTCAAACTCGACACAGAGAGGCCCCCAGCTGGGATATGAACCAGGGTAACCTGCTCACTGAGAAGCAGCAGCTCTACCAACTGCACCACTGTGCTGCACTAAATATGTATATTTTATTATAAAATATTAAATTCTGAGAGAACCAACAAGATTTAATGGATAAAGTCTAGAGAAACTGCGTTTAATTCATGAACAAGCAGCCTTTTCAAGGGGCAGAGTACTAAAGTGGATTGCTGTCATCTTAAATTTGATTTAAAAAATTACAGTCATTCATTTTTACATGCTTTTACACCACTGTCACGTTTGCATTACACCAACAATATAATATTCATGCTTACTTGTCAGGGACAAAGTGTCAGCTACAAGCAAGAGTGCAACCTGTCTTCGCTTTGAATTTATCCCTGTTTCCTCCTCTGTTCCTGTATGCTCATATCGTAGGCGCCTCTTAATGTGACTCTGCCTGCTACTTAAGATGCTGAGTTCTGAGAATTTTACGTGACTGAAATATCTCGTGAATATTCAGGATTTACTCGATGAAAAATGAGGGAAAACACAGGAAATTTTATTTTCATGAAATGCTGGGAAACCACTGAAAATCACCAATCTGTTGACCACTGGAACTTCCTTCTCTAGTAAGGAAAGAAATACCACAACAACAAAAATATTAAGGTAATATCAGGGTAAAACTGACCACTTTAAATGTAATAACTACTGAAATGAGTTTTTATGCCTACAAACACTTCAGAAGTTTTCTGTCTTCAATAATTCAAAAACATTAAGGGCTAACTTTCTGCAAATATTAAACCGTTTTTTTTTTTTTTCATTATTTTTTTCTTAATATCCGGAGTAACGGTGGCAATTAAATGTACAGCTCCAACTGTAATATTCCCCTTGCTTGCCATAACCAATTAGAATTACGCAGTTCATTTTCAGGGTATAGGCGTGTGCAGAGCTTGCACACTCCAGTGATAGTCCCAGCATGACCATTTCCTAGAGGCATTTCTTTCAGCCTGTTTAGGACATCTTGAACTTTTAATTTCAGCGTCAGTGAAATAAATTGCAATTTACGCATTTTTTTTTTTTTTCATAGGAACAAAAAGAAGTCCTCTCCTTGCCTGAAGGGAAACAAGTCAAGGACAATCAGTGTCAGAACAACGGATGCAATCCATATAAGGACAAAACAAAGTATTTCCTTCAAGTAAAATTGTGAGAAAAAAAATCTAGTGTCTTTAAAAGCATTATAAAACATGTCAATCTGCAGTGATGGGAGTTAGCAGACTCAAGCATCAATTTGTCCTGTTAAAGCTGGTCTCACCATCTATTCATATTCATAATTGAGGGCAGTGACTCCAAGCAGTAAAGCAACTGACCCAGAAGAAAACTGGCAGTCCGAGATATATGTGTTGTTTTGGTACGGCACTGCAAACTAAGGCGAAGTGCTCGGAAATAATGAGAAACTAGTGACCAACAAAAGCCATAAATGTTTCACAAGTTATTAGCCTGCTGATTTATACAACAGCCAACAATCAGCTCTCGTGTAAGCAGACAAATTCACCTCTAATGTTCAGTGCTGGAGTAAGTACTCAAACACCGTACTTAAGTAAAAGTACAAATAAACAGACATAAATGTATTCTAGCAAATTAGAAGTACCGCATTAATGTTTTTTTTTAACTCAAGTAAAAGTAAATAAGTACTTGCTTTTAAAAATACAAAGAACTTAAAGTAGTAAAAGTACTTGCTGAATGTATTACCTAATGCAATGGTCTACAATATCATTAAGTGTATCTCGTATGTATATTTTCTGTAATACATAAATAGTGTTGTGTCATTTTAATGACTAATTTTGCAGATAATACATGTTTTTATTGTGTTTACTCTGTGACATAGTTCACACTTGGACTTGTGATTCTGTACGTCAGAATTTCAGGAATGACATGCAGAGTTAAATGTCGTTAAGCAAAATAAGAAAGGAATGATTATACCTTTGAAATATTTTATTTAACACAAATCAAAACCAATGTGTCATTTTAACTGCAGTAAACACATTTAAGTAAAAGTTGTCTGAAAAAAGGAGCATTAGACACAACTAACAAAGGAACAGGCTCTGATCATTTCAATTCCAGTTTGTCATCAACTCTAGTTAAAATACTGTAAATGGACTGTACTTATATAGCGCCTTTCTATCTTATTTCAAGATACTCAAAGCGCTTTACACTACAATCTGTGCCCTTCTTACCCATTCATACAGCACTCTACTAGATCTCTACAAAGCTAATTGAACAAATCATTCTAATGAGACTAATCAGAGCTTTATCACATTCATACACTGATGGGACACACATCAGAGGCTGTGAGGGGTTCAGTGTCTTGCCCACAGACACTTCAGCATGTGACTGCTGATGGATTCTAACCCCCAACTCTTGCATTGGAGAACTATTGCTCTAACAACTCAGCCACAGCCGCCCCACTGTCTATTCAACCTTGTAATGGGTCAATAGTGAATTATATTTTCACTTCCTGACACCATTTTCAAAATTTGGACCAGAGTGTTGAGCCATTTGGAGACATCTCTTGTCTCCTAACATCATAAACTGACACATTTTAATATTGCAGCAAGAATTTCTTGTTCAAGCTCAGAAGAAGTTGGATGTCAAAGATTGTGTGTCCAGTCTGTCTCTTTTGGGAGAGAGAATCTGTCCTGCTGTAATGAATAGTCTTTCAATAAGGACATGGGTGGTGCATATCTTCTGGCTGACTCTCCGCAGTGGACTCCATTTTGGGTGTTAGTGGTGCTGCGGGTGCCTCCAGCTCAATGACATACATACTAGAATATACGTAATTGGTCCAGCTCTTCTTGAAGGTGGGTCTAACGTTACCTGCCCACTTTGAAGTTACTCAATGGACCAACTCCCCTCTCGCCACTGGTTACTTTCAAACTAACGAACAAATAAAAAAACGCAACATGAATGTAACTTGTAACGCAACGTTTTATAGAAATGTAGTGTAGTAGGAAGTACAGATAATTAATGTAAAATGTAGTGGAGTAAAGTATAAATTACCCATGTTTAACATTACTTAAGTAAATTACAGATACATGAAAAATGTACTTAAGTACAGTAACAAAGTACTTGTACTTAGTTACATCCCACCACTGCTAATGTTCACCCTCTTTTGTTCAGTTCTCCACTCACTCCTGACAAACTCATCTGTACACTAGATTCTAAATGTGTCACTTCTACCTCTCAACAATCTTGTGCCAAGTAGTTAAAGGAAGGTTCATTACTAGTGTTCCCTCAGTGAGGACTGAACTAGGCAGAAGGTCTTCTACTCCGCCCCTGTTTCCTGGAATATCTTGCAAAAAGATCTGAAGCTCTTGACCTTGACCTCTCTAAGTGTCTTTAAACATCTAAGTTCCTGGCAAAAACCAGTGCAGACATGTTCCTGTTTTTAGTTTTCTACACCGCATTATAATCTAGCTGTTTTTTGTTTGTTTGTTTGTTTTTTTTTCTCGCTAATTTGTCCTTTTGACTGTCCTTTTGGGTGCCCTTTTATTTTAATTTGTAAAAAATAATTTAAAAAAATTAAATCTATGCCTCTTTTATGATTGTCTATTGTTGTTGTTGTTATCCACTGTTGTCATCACACTTTGTTAAATAAATCAGGTCTCTTTTATAAATGAGTCCCCGAGGCTCATTGGGATTAACCTGTCTACATAAAGGTTGAATGAATTAAGGAGAGCTGAGGATTTTTTAAATTCTTGTTTCTACTGAGCTGCAATCTGTCGCTTGACACAAAGTTGACAAAGGCGGCGACTGAACATAAAACCAAGACGATGAGCTGGAAAATACCAATGCACTCTGTAAAGCTAATGGGATTTGCAGCATTGATCGTAAATCTCTTTGGGTTAGTCGCACCAAGTGAACAATTTTTTTCTTACATGTTATTTGATTCATTGTTTGTGTAAAATATTGACTGAAGCAGATTTAATTTTGATAATCTGATCTAATTGTGATCATTGTGTGTACTCACTCTTGTAATGTGACGTCACAGTTCCACTAGCTTGGCTGGAGGGAGAGCTACAGATCATTCTGACAACAACAACATTTCCCACTGTTGAGTTAACGCCGTACAGGGTCTTTCAAACAAAACAAGTGGAACATAAGAGGACCTGAAGTTGCAGGTGAAATGATGCGAGTGTAGGTTTCTCCCTTTTCAGTGGAGTGGCTCAGGTTGCACTATCAGTATAATGATACCCTCTGCTGCTGCGTCTCAGCCATGTTTTCCACACAAACTTTATGTATGAAAAATAAGCATTTAACAGAATGTCACTCACAAGGTTACTGCGTCTCTACCCTGCTTGCTGTGCATCTATGTGGCCCTGACCCAGCTCAAAAACACAATCTACTAAAAAAAAAAATAGACAGCTGCCGCTTTAAAGTGAGCTCACTCCACTGCCAGGCGACAGCCGGAGTCATATCAAAGAATCTGTGGTGCAAATGAGTCGCAGGGATTTCCTGTTCACTTCTAATGATTTCTTAAGCCCTGCACCAATTTATAAATCTTCAGTAGGCGCAGCAGTTTAAATCTTTTCATTATCAAAGTTAACCTCGCTCATCCTTAGTTGCGGATAAATTCATCAACCACAGTTGACTCTGACTCCACATCACAGCTTAGCCTGAAAAGAGATAAGCTTTTTTTTCAATTAGAAATGGATGCTCAATTAAGTTGCTGCTCTTTGAAGTCTCTTTTTTTCTTGGATGATGTCTTATCTTGCTCTCTCAAGCATTTCTGACCAGAAATCATTAAAAACAAATTATTTAGAAGTAACGAGCAGCGCCTTCTTTGATTTCCATGGAAGCAGCCAATTAGGCGGCGCTGGATTTCCACCGTGCGATGCAGACGTGCAGCGCGGGACGCATGAATAGCTGAGGTCAAGACTGTTGCTGTGATGGTGTACCTGTACTGCGGTGAAGGGATCCCTTCTGCTTCGCACGTGATGGTCGCCTGGTGGTCTGGGGAGTTGATCGGCAAAATGAGGTCGCCGGGCTGCGTCCTCCATCTTGGCCCTTGAAATATGATATCCTCTGTACAGGCTGCAGAGAGCAGAAAATGTTGTACAAGCTAGAAAATGTGTCTCTTTGACCTTAAAAATAGAAAAATACACACTGTACAGGCAAATAGTTAATCTTCTATGGGAACACTCAGTCTATGTTACTTTTTTAGTGTTCTGTATACGATACATTGTCTCTGTCTCCAACAGTGTTGCTTTTTACCAGAATTCTGCTCAGGCTAGGTTGTGTACATGATTTATGTTGCAACCAGTAGAATGCATTTAACTCACTCATGTTTAGCATTAAAAGTTACTACTAATGTACTCTGTCTCTGGTTCTCTTATTGCTGCAGCATCTTTTTAAATGAACAGAGAAAAAATAACAAGATTAACACCAGTGTATTTAATTATCACCTGCTGAAGCGATCATGTTTGTTGCACTTGTCAGTGTTTGTGTGGGGGGTAGGTGGCAGCAGAGCAGCGCAGTGGTTAGAGCAGTCGCCTCTCAGTGAAAAGATCCCAGGATCGACTCCTGGCCTGGTGCCTTTCTGAGTGGAGTTTGCATCCTGTGGGTTTTCTACTGGTATTACAGTTTCCTCCCACAGCAACCTGCATGTTAGGTTACTTGATAACTGTCCCTATGAGCGAGGCTGTCTGTCTTTGGTGGATTGCGACCTGTCTGGGTTGTACCCTGTCTGTCACACCAAGACTGCTAGAGATAGGCACCAGCTCCCTGTTACCCAAAATAAAAAGCATCCATCCATCCAGCCATTATCTTTTACCCGCTTCTTCCTTTTTAGGTCACGGGGTCACTGGTGCCCATGTCCAGCTATCACTGTGGAGAGGCGGGGGAAACCCTGGACAGGTTTCCAGTCCACCACAGGGACACATAGAGACAAACGAGACAACCATTCACTCTCTCACTCACACCAAGACAATTTAGAGTTACCAAACAGTCTAACGTGCATGTTTTTGGTCTGTGGGAGGAAACCGGAGTACCTGGAGAAAACCCACACATGCACGGAGAGAACATGCAAACTCCACACAGAAAAGCCCCCTGAGCCAGGATTTGATCCAGCGACCTGCTCACTGAGGCGGCAGCTCTACCAGCTGAACCACTGTGCCGCAAAGGAAACAAAAATGGATGGATGCTTGTAGGTGTGTGTTATTTTGTTTGAGGTTTAGTTAAAATACCTCATGATCCACTGAACGCAGTTCAATAAAACTTTTTGGAAGTAATCTTTGAATGTTCATCTACACTGACTACCTGATTAACTTTTGGAGTCAACTCAATTCAAAATGGCTGCCAAAGCTAATAAACCTTAGTCTAATCCAAAATGGCTATATCTCAATAAATCTTACAGATACTGAGCAAAACTGTGCTCTGGTACTGGCTAAAGATAATTCACAACACATCTTCAGAGCACACATCATACAAGATGTTCGAATACTGCATGAGTGTGCATGTTGTTATTTTTAAGGTTTAACCAAAATGTCTATAATAACGGAGTCATTTCTCAACATAAGATGAAGTTAGTCTCAAACATCAGTTTGAAAAGCAGCAGGGAATATATATTTATTTAAGATGCAGGTCTTTAGGCCTGGGCTAACTCTAAACACAATTTGGGCCTTGCATAAACTTAACAGACATTTCATTGAGAAGTCTGTCCTACTTTTCCTAAAATCTTGTTTTTTTTCCCCAGTGGATGTAAATATAAATACAAACACAATTGTCACACACCGCCTTTATGGCAGTGTAAATGTTTGGACAATTTAAACATTTTAATAACTCTCACATAGCTGGCTGATTGAGACTACGTAACAGAGGTGCTTCAGTTAATTACCTGTCTGAGACAATGTAATGATAACAGCACCTGAAAACTAAAATCGGGCGCTCAACAACAGTCGATGCAGGATACAGACAAACACTTCTCACATATTCCGTCAGTAATTAAGAACTCCTTGCAAGTGACAGAGTGGATCTAAAAAGAGGAGTGATCTATTTTAAGAAAAACTATGTCATACTACACACGCAGCAGCTAATAGGGGCCATAAGGATGCACTTGTTTGCCAGCAGCCTAAAACGAAAGGATGTGGAACACAATCTGGTAGTAAATCAAAGCAGAGCCAACAGACGGCCAGAGTAGGTCTAATTAATATCCTACTGCTAACAGATTGCAGCATGTGGCTAGCAGTTCTACATGTGGTTTGAACTGGTGGTGATGTGTCAAGCAACCAAAACATGTGGAGGGCTGTAACTGGCCAAGGACTGCTCTTTATGTTGATCTCATAGGTACATTGGTAAGTAAACAAACAAACCACTAAATACATTTTAGACATTTCTGAACTGAGTTGCAAAGTAATTCACTGATTTTACACTTCAAGCCATAATGGACTGAATCAGCTTGTGCTTAACAGGTCTTAACGTTTCTTTAATTCAGCCTTGAATGAACAACACAGCATATCCATCCATCCATCCATCCATCCATCCATCCATCCATCCATCCATCCATCCATCCATCCATCCATCCATCCATCCATCCATTACCTTCACCCACTTCTTCCTTTTTGGGTCATGGGGGTCACTGGTGCCCATATCCAGCGATCACTGTGCGAGACACGGTGGACACCCTGGTCAGGTCTCCAGTCCATCACAGAGACAAACGAGACAAACAACCATTCACTCTCTCACTCACACCTAGGGACAATTTAGAGTTACCAATCAGTCTAACATGCATGTTTTTGATCTGTGGGAGGAAACCCACACACGCATGGAGAGAACACTCCACCCAGAAAGGCCCACGGCTGGGATTTGGAACCACGACCTTCTCGCTGAGAGGCAGCAACTCTACCAACTGTGCCACCGTGCCGCAATTCCATGAGTATTTGTATGTAAATCTAAGCATAAGCAGTGTGTTAGGAGAATAAATACATGCCACAGTTCTGTAGATTGTGTTTACGATCTTTAGAAGTTAAAGAGTTTTATCCACATGAAGCTGTTGTAAAAGACGTTTGGCCCACTCTGTTCAGTGATGCTTCAGTTCATTAAGGTAGTTTTTCTGCTTTTGTCTGGAATCATTTTCCTGTAACATGATCCAAAGGTTGCAGAGAAAATTATCTCACATTTGATTCTATATGTTGGTATGAAAATGTGTTTATCTTTAAAATAAGGAGTTTGAATCATGGGGCAGCAAATAGCCCAAATCATCAGCCTATCACTGCCGTGCCGGCAGTTGATATACTGTGTTATAATGTTTTACTAACATGGGGCTGTTTGTTATTTCTCATCATCCCTTTGATGATCTTGTTTGACTAAAGCACAGTATTCTACGAGTGTTGTTTTCAGATGCAATTAAATTATAATTTTAATAAGAAGAGTGTCTCTTACAAACACTATTAAACAAACCATCCTTGTTTGGTTGGTTTCAAATTGTACTCTGTATTTTAAATATATTTTCTGTTCCTTGAGCAATGTGGAAGGTAGTGTGAAAGTAAAAATGTGAAACTGAAGAGTTTGGACATGACTAAAAGTATAAAAATGATACAAAGTAGATTATTGCATCAGATCCATTCTTTTGCTTCAGCTTGCCAATTGTTCCATGTGAATTTAACTAAAAGGCCTCATGAGCGCATCTTTGTGGCATCAGTGTTTTTTATTGACGTTTTTCCAGAATAAAATGCCACTTTAGCTGTTGATAACAACTGTTTTTTGCTACAGTGGCATTCAAGGTGCTGCAATTTCCCAGTCAAAACACAGAATAAAAACCAGCACCCACAGCAGAGACCAAGGCCCTGCTGCACACACTCGTCCGCTTGGAAGGTGAGCCTGCTTGGATCCGTCTCCCTTGGGCGCAGCATGTGAATTACCCAGGAGCCAATTTGAATAACATTCACTGGGAGCTACAATGTCATTTGAACAAGGGTTGACATTCTCGTAGAGTGTCTGCGCCTCCCCTCCTCGAATCCCAGGTGGCTGCGCAAGGGCAGATTGAGGCACGGTGGAAAGAAGATTGTGCTAAAATACGAAGCTGGATTCATTGCATGGATCCTGATAATGATCTGGATAAGCCATAAACAGGAACAGGATTGAAGTCCCAGTTGTCCTGGACAGTGTTCTCTAAATGTGCAGCAGAAAATGAGGAATGGCGAAGGACATCACACTGAACTATGTGTAGAGTTACTGCAGCCTCATCAGCACAAACTTTATGCTCTAAACTAATTTCTAAGATCATTAACGTTTTTTTATTCCATCATCTCATCATCAAAACATATTATGTTAAAAATGAGGCATGCAGCTGGTGAGACAACATAAAAATGAATAACACCCAAAGTAATCATCTGTAATGAATGAACTCCAGGTAGCACATGTTTAGGAGAAATGTTCTGGTGACATCAACCATGACATCAAGATGTAGTGTAGAGACGGAAATACAATATGCACTAAGATGTCTTACCTGCAAGGCATCCGGTGATTGATAGCAGAACAATTTGTTTCCATGGTAACATCATCTTTAGTTGCCGAGGGCTAATGAGACTCTCATCCAATTGCTCCTGAATGGAATGTTCTCCCTTGAATAGAAGAGTTTAATCTGAAGAGAAAGTAATTATGGCTATGATTAAAATGTGACATTCTGATCCAAATACGACAAGCATTCAAAACATGGGCAAAAAAATAAAATAAAAATGTAACATGATTACAGCACTACTATGTTACATAATTGGTTCTTATTATTTTTGAGTTACAGTGAGTGAGTGGAAAGTGAATCTCGAGGAAGTGAGAGGCGATGAGTGGAAAAACAGGCATAGCAGCTGACGAAAACACAAGGATGGAGCCAGTGGTGCGATTTTCAGGTGGCACGGAAGAAAAAAGCAGCTGCTAAATGGTTGTGTTTTCTTTTACTGTGTGTGTTATTCATGCTGCCTAACAAGCTCATTCCTTCAGTTTTAAACAGAAGCAAGAAAAGACAAGACCGACTATTAATAGGAGCTGACAAACTCTGTACCAGGGCTTTATGAAATGACACATCCAACTTTAATATGAAGTTCTGTGGCCTGCTAAACAAATTTACTGTTTTAATTCTCACATTAAAAAAAAAATCATGTTTTGTACAAATCAAACAACACAAACATTAAAATGTCACAAACAAAAACAGTTAAATTTGATTAGTTGGCACAAATAAACAGTTAAAGCCCTAGAGAACAGATCAAACTCGCAAGCTTTCTTACCCACTGGGCCTAGCATGGAAGGCAGCAGAAGATAGGCATTGCTATAAGAATAGCTACCTTCACTGTAAATGTATGTATTTTTTATTAATTTAATGTGCTTTTCCTGAGTTAGATGTTTAAACATGTTTGAGGACTGTGGGTAGGACGTCCTGTGTTGTACAGTGGCAAGTGTTTGGTTAGATTTTCATCAGTGATTGACAGGAAAAGCCAGTGTCATCAAGCCAGTATCATTTGACATGAATACGTAAAGGCAGTACAATATACTGCAATAATCAAAACATACTGTTATGATATACTATATATACATACTGTGATACCCTGACTCACTTCAGGCTCTGTTTCACTTACAGAAGCTCTTGATTGCAGATGTTCCTCAAATAAAAGTAATCTGGCAAGCCATAGTGAACACAACTCTAAACAGTGTGAGACCAATATCTGATATAATAAATAAAAAAAAAAGATTAATAAAATGAAATTTTATAGTATGAAATTTATAAAAAAATAAATGTGTTTGCAGACAGTGCAACTGCATTGAATAAACACAAAGTACACAACTTTAGCTCTGCCACATACAACACAAAACACTGATGTACTGTTTGTGGAATATGGATTTCTTTTGATCATATTGTGTCATTTTATACACTAGATGCTACAGCTGCTTGTTAAACCAACAAAGTCTTGTTGTCCCTATGCACAAAACTCTGAACGTGTAGTGTATGTATGCATGTGGGCGCACGAGTCAGACAGGAAAAAACTGCATCAAAGTAGCAACTGAAAATAATAATAATAATAATAACATTGATAACAACAATAATAAGAAGAAGAACAACAAGAAGAAGAACAACAACAACAATACATAACAAGTTGAAAAAACTTCTATAAATTATGTTTGGGGGCGGCTGTGGCTGAGTGGTTAGAGCAGTCGTCCTCCAATGTGAGAGTTGGGGGTTCGAATCCACCAGCAGTCACATGTCGAAGTGTCCCTGGGCAAGACACTGAACCCCTCGTGTGTCTGATGTGTGTCCCATCAATGTATGAATGTGATCTAAAAAGCACTGATTAGTCTCATTAGAATGATTTATTCAATTAGATTTGTAGAGATGTACAGTAGAGTGCTGTATGAATGGGTAAATGAGGACACAGATTGTAGTGTAAAGAGCTTTGAGTATCTTGAAATAAGATAGACAGGCGCTATATAAGTACAGTCCATTTACCATTTACCATGTTATAATTGCATTATGGGAATAGTAAATCATACTTGTGCTACACTAAGTTCAAAAAGCGTTCAATACAAAAACAACTAGACTTTATTTGTTTTTTTTTGTTTTTGTATTGAACGCTTTTTGAATTTATCATGTCCTGGATGACTGAGAATCTTCACCAGCTACACTAAGTTAAATTTCAAGATATCTAACTCGGATGCAGCAGTTGTGACCATTTTAACTGTTTTACACAAGGTTTTTTACTTTACCGGGGGCAATTTTTTCATTTACCCTTTGTTTATCCAGGTAGTCTCATTGAGCCACGAGAACCCATTTTCAAGAGAGCCCTGTTTACGGAGCAGATGGGGGGTTAAGGGCCTTGCTCAGGGGCCCAGAGTGGGGCGAATGAGGGTGGAGGCAGGTGTGGGTGTTTCACCTTTTCCACCCACATTTTGATGTTGACGGTACCGAGAGGTGAACCTGCGACTTTCCGATCACAAGCCCATCTTCTAACCTCTGCGCCACCACTCCCCACCACTCCTCCATGCTTAGGAGGGTAATACCGGAATAAAGTAATAAACACTGAACACAAGCCATTATACTGATTAACCCTCCTACTGCCTTTAAGTCAAAATGACCCTCGAGGCTTGCTTTAAAACTAATGCCTCAAGGGTCATTTTGTGCCAAGGACAGAAGGAGGGTGAACATTTTTTTTTTTTTTTTGCTGACCAACAAAACTGACAGTGTTCCTGTTGCAATGGACTGTAGCCCCACAGCTCTTTTGTCTTTTTAAAATGCATGGCACCATTAGGTTATACGTACAGCCAATGTTTACTCTCTGAGGAATTTGTCCTGTGGTTCATAAGACATTTTACTAACAGACAGACTGTGCTGACCCTAACAGTTAAAGTCAAAGTTTTCTGCAAAGATAATCTGCACATTGTAGTGCTCAGAGGATGTTAGATGAATGACCCTCAGCAACTACCACACATAATTTTGGCACAATATTTATAAAATAGACTGCCTTATAGCAATTCTTATGTTGACTAATGTTGCTTAGCTGAGATGAACATTATAAATTGGGGTAACTCCAAATGTTAATCATGTAAAGCTAAACAACCACTGATTACTGTCTGTAAGTTTTATTAATAGCCATGCACAGGTTCATGAGATATTTAGCTGGCAGACAGAGTTGACGCCACAGTTTTGAGTAGAAATATTTCACAATGCGTAGTGTTCTGAATATATAATAGGGATAATGCTAAGCCACTACTACACTCAATCTTAGTTGAAAATGTGTAAAGTTACAGCTAATTTTGTGTTTCTACAGTTCAGTTGCCTGTGGTGACCATCTTAAATTGGGATGATGCCAAGATGTCTATCCATCAATTACATTCTTAGACTTTCCTTAAAATATGTCCACTTGTTAATATTTTGCTAACAATAAAGGCAAATAAACACATGCACAAATACAAGCAAAATCATTATTGTCTCTCATCTTTTGCAGTGGGTAATAACTAAAAGGACAGTGGAAGTTTTCTAATGTAGAATGGAGGACTCTAACTGTGCAGTTTAGAAGAACAGGACAGGAGGGGCTTTGCTTGAGCTCTGACCTACATCACAGCAAGTGGAAAATGATATGTCTCTTAGGATTAGGAATTGAACACAACCCCTTATCCTTACAACACAGCCCTGTTGTGTGGATTAACCCAGGGCTATCTTTGGAATTCTTGAATAAGACCTACATTTTAACTGCTTTCCTTGTGCCACTAACATGTAGGTTTTGGTTTGATGTGAAAGGCATGGCTAGAAAATATGATAGTTCTAGCAGAAACTGCAGTGAGGGTAAACCATGTGTTTGGCTTGATCATGACTTGGGCTCTGTGTACACCACACCATTTTTAAGTGAAACTGTAACAATTTTGCTGTGTTTCTGCTGTTCTTGTACACAAAAAGAGTGATTACTTTCTCTGACACTTTAATATTAGAATCTGGGTCTCCAGTGATGGAGAAAGTACTCAAACACTGTACTTAAGTAAAAGTACAAATAAACAGACAAAAATGTACTTTAGTAAAAGTAGAAGTACCACATTAACATTTTTACTTAAGTAAAAGTAAAGTACTTGCTTTTAAAATACTTAAAGTATTAAACGTAAAAGTATTTCCTGAATGTATTACATAATGCAATGGTCTACATATCTTTAAGTCTGCCTACCGTATGTATATTTTCTGTAATACATTAATAGTGTTGTTCCATTTTAATGAACAATGTTGCAGATAATACATGTTTTTATTGTGTTTACTCTGTGACACAGTTCACACTTGGATTTGTGATTCTGTGCGTCAGAATTTCAGGGATGGCATGCAGAGTTAAATGTCATTAATCAAAATAAGAAAGGAATGATTATACATTTGAAAGTTTTTATTTAACACAAAGGAAAACCAATGTGTCATTTTAACTGCAGTAAACACATTTAAGTAAAAGTTGTCTGTCTGAACAAAAGGAGCATTAGACACAACTAACAAAGAGGCTCTGATCATTTCAACTGATATTTCAACTCCAGTTTATCATCAACTCTAGTTAAAATACTGTCTGTTCAACCTTGTAATAGTCAATAGTGAACAATATTTTAACTTCCTGACACCATTTTTAAAACTTGGACCTGAGTGTTGACATTTGGAGACATCTCTTGTCTCCTAACATCATGAACTGACACATTTTAATTTGCAGCAAGAATTTCTTGTTCAAGTTCAGAAGAAGTTGGTTTTCAAAGATTTTTGAGTCCAGTCTGGCTCTTTTGGGAGAGAGAATATGTCCTGCTGTACTGAACAGTCTTTCAATAAGGACATGGGTGGAGCATATCTTCTGGCTGACTCTCTTACAATGGAATACATTTCAGTGTGTTAGTGGTGCTGTGGGTGCACCCAGTTCAGTGGCATATATACTAGAATATATGTCATTGGTCCAGCTCTTCTTGAAGGCGAGCCTAACGTTACCTGCCCACTTTGCAGTGATTCAATGGACCAGCTCCCCTCTCACCATTGGTTACTTTCAAAGTAACAAACAAATCAAAAAGCTGCAACATGAATGTAACTTGT